CTCACAGCAAAAAACGATGCCTCCGACTTAAAAACAAAAAACTATAAAAAGTGTTTTCTGCTCTAGTTGTTGTTTGAAGCTAAGCACAAAGCTACACAATGGGCTATCTGTGCTCTGCCCAACACGAGTATCGAAACCCGGTTTCTAACATTGTAAGTCCTCAGACTGGGGGGCTTCTGCTCCAGTAAACTGGACAATAAAGATATTAAAATGACTGACACTTTTTTCGTGAAGAAACAAAAGAAACTAATATTTAATATATTTTTCATTTAGGTTTCACCTCTAAGGCATCTTTTGCTTCGAAAAATTGCAAACTCCATACAAATTTCTCATTTATTTTCTAATACTGTTCTATTTAAAAGTAATAATTAGAAAATTTCATATATCTTTCAGTGCATTGCATCATATCATTTTAAGTTATTATTACCGAATCGATTGCCCCCCCCCCCCTAGTGGCACAGCGGAATGTCTGCGGACTTACAATGCTAGAAACCGGGTTTCGATACTGTTTGCTGTACCATCGTTGACACTTACGAACGTTCAAAACATTTTCATAATTTTTTTGATATTCTTTGTGGCTACAGAGACGTTGTTTTCCTTTTTGTTTTCAAACAGCATTACATGCCGAATGTGTGTACGGAGTCAACCCCACTATTCGACTAGAGCACCACAAGAGCTGGAAATGGGTAGTGTTGACTAGCTGTCTTAGTTATAGCTACGCTGATATTGCTCTGGTAGCTTTGTGCGAAAATTCAACGAAAACAACCACTAGCACCACTAAATCCAAAAACTTTAAGTAAGTTACAGGGATGGGTAGAGCGCGATCTGTCGAGCATTGTAGGTTGAGCTTTGGGTGATGGCCATCAGTCATATGGCCAGCAACAGTCACCTTAGCAATCCGCGACACTGATTTTCGTAGTTTGGTTTTCATCTGGCTGGCTACAGCTGTCTCTTCTTCTGCTACCCGCTAACTATCATTTCGATCTTTCCTGCCAGTCATTTCTTCCTCACTCATCATTAATTTGCTGTATATCTTCCGTTGACGACCCCTCGTCGCGGTGCTATTTCATCTTCTTCTCCCTGCATATCCTACCTAATCAGCAATAATCAACAATCACGTTCTTCCAACATAAGTTCTTCCTCAAGGAAGCTTTTTTTTTTCATCCTCCAAAACCTTGGAATATGCACATAATGCCTTTTTTTATCATTACACTATTTAATATTGTATGTTTTAGCATGCATTCCTATTGTTAATGCCATAAATATCATATTACTTTGACCTTGCTATAGAGATAGAGGAAGTATCTTGCTTTTATTGCTTTTTCCTTACTTATTTGAAGTTGTTTATTCTATTCTTTGATTATCGGAAAGAAATCCCTCCTTATTGTCGTTTGCGAAAGCTACTTTAAGTTCGTTGAGACCTTCTTTGAGCTGGATACGTGGCTTTTGAGCAACAAACTTTGCTAAAAAAATTAGCATACCTTGCCTCCATCGTTACGGTCACGGGTATTTGTTGTTATTACATTCACACCTGCTGCACTGGTAACATTCCGAGCAAAGTCCATGTTAACAACATTTTATAAAACACCTTTTTCATTAAACGCCGGAGTTTCGCAAAGATCAGTACTAAGCCCTTTGCTTTATATATTACAGATTAATGATATACCACCACAGTACTAAGCCCTTTGCTTTATATATTATACATTAATGATACACCACCACCACCATCCTATCATTTATTCGGGCATTTCATATTTTTCTCACCCAAATCAAAGTATGGAGTAACAAATGTTGGATTGTTTAAACAAGAAATTTTCTAGATTAAAAAAATTCAAAATATAGCTATATGATACACCCATCACCTTCACGAAAAAAATCAAATTTCTAGATGTTACATCCAATAATCATTTCATTGAAATTCACACTTCAGTGAAAATCTATAAAAACACTCATAACAGTTAAATACCTCCAACGTATAGGATATTGCTTTCACAACTGTAAAACTGCCATTCTCGTATTTACCTAGGAAAACACATAAAAACAAAAATAAACAATTTATTAAACTGTAACAACACTTGGAATAAAATTTAACACTTACAAAAAACACAGTTAATAAACACGTTCCTGGCCAGGATTTGATACTAATGTTAATGAACAATAAAACATAAATATCAGTATTAATTATTTCAAATAGCGGAATTAGGAAAAAAAACATAGTTCCAAAAGAAAACAACAATAAGATAATATTCCAAAATTACCTTGCTATATTAATAACAATATCGAGTGACAAACATAATAATTCACTAACTATCTCATGACTCAGGTTATGAAACTCATGGCAGGGTATTTATTCATTGCTTAAGTCACGAGAGTACATTTCATGTGATCATAAATTTACATAATCTTTTGCTACGTTAATAATATCTGTACGTCACCGCTAGGGAAGCTGGTGTCAATTTCATAATACTGTTGCGTATCTGCTTGTTTGCTAATTTCCGGTATAAATTCTTTCTGAGGATACAAGTCCCTTCTTGATTAAAACTAGTTTATTCTTTATCGATACAAACTTTTTGTAAT